AAAAATTACCTTGTTGGAGAAGAATCCTTTGCCGAGGCCGTAGAATTTTTTCGACATTTTTTCGGATTTTTTTTTATGCTCGAATCGTTCGTTGAAGTTCGGAAAATTTAGAGAGATAAAGTTTAGAGAGATGAAATCCAAAAAAGAGTTAAGGGCAAAAGAGTAAATGGGGGGGGGGGCGGTGACTAGTAAAAGGGGGCGGTGAATAGCGATTGAGTTTTTTTTTCAGAGGTCCGAAAATTTTGATTGTATATGATAAAACAATAATATTAATAATATATACAATATTTTCAAAATATACTTAATAATAGTTGTACAATATAGACATATCTATTGAAAACAGAGAGAATATGGATAGGTACGACACCAAGCACGTAATTTGTGAAGGAAAATTGTCATTTATTTTATCAATAGTTAATAAAATTAAAATGACATTTAAAAAGAATAGAATGAAGTATATAAAATTATTTTCCCTATTGATTGAGCACTTATTTGATTAGTTAAAATCATAATCATGATGTCTCCCTAGGAATTTTATTTGAATATATTCATAGATTAGACCAAAAAATGAATCATTATCATTATCATTACTAATTAAAATGATAAAAGTTGTGTACTTTATATCTCACCTGGCAATATCATACGTGCACGAAAATCAAGAAGCAAAAAGCAATCAACGAACTAAAAACGCAAATGTCAATTAGCGCCGCGCAATAAAACATTTCAAACCTTAACTTCCTCAGCCTCGGAAGTCAAATCATAACCCGACCCGAAATAAGCCCCGGGGCTCCGATCCGCCACGTCATTCTCCCGACAGAAGGCCAACCACCGCTTTCCAAACTTGGCCGCCTCCATCAGCGCAAACACAGTCAGCTCCGACCCGCCGTCGTCCGACACGTACACAGACAACTTCTCGGCCGGAAAATCGTACGCCATCACCGACAGGGCCGTGTTCACGACGGTGACCGGCGGCTCCTTGTGCGGATCCGCCGTGCATATGAACACGTCCGTCGCCGGAAAATCCCTCCTGTCGAGGACCTTCTCGAGGTTCTCCGGGAACTCTTCCCGGACGACCGGGTTCATGCGGTAGGCCTGAGTGTTGGACCACATGTAGGCGAGGAGGAGGTCGGCGATTAGGAGAGAGAAGGAGGCGAGGAGAGAGAAAGTGGTGGTTGAGGTGAGGATGGTGTGTGTGTGGTGGCGGAGGAGACAGAGTAGGGCGGCCGCGTAGACCGCCGCGAAGAGGCGGTTGAGGTGGCGGCGGCGCAGTGGCCGGAGAGAGTGGAGGGGCGGCAGGGTGGTGGCGGTGGCCATGTTTTTTGTTATTACTATTATAATTTTATTATTTTTGTGTCCTGTTTGGAGTGCAAGTTGGTCATATATAGGCCCAATTTGGGGGGGTCTTTATGATTCACTATTATTTATTATTGTTCCAATTGATAAAGTATAAATGCGACTTGGAAATATATCAGCCTTTCATAATTTCTAAATAATTAATAATTGTACTATATTATAAGTGATTTTTCTAGGAGGACTTGCAATTTCTTCCTCTTGTCTAATTAGGATTTTAGCATTACGGCGACCACATGTTTGCAATTTATTTGTCGTTTGGCTCTTTTCAATGATTTTGCGTCACACATATGCTCGGACATGACTTACAGTAACTTGTTATGACCAGGTAATTAATGCTCGAGAAATCATTAATTTATTAGCTCTAAAAGTTTTTCATTGTGGAAAGTCACTCTCTAACTTGGAGTTCTTGAGTGACATCTTTGTGGGTTTTTGTATCATATCGATATCGGTCGATCACACTCGAGATGATAGAATAATCTGGCCAACAAAGTTACCTTAAACTTCCACGTTGGCCACAGGCAAGGTTTCTTCTTTACCCATCTCCACTAACTACTAATGTGAAAGAAGTTGTCGTCCAAAACCGATTCTTGCTACCAAAAAAGATAAGTCACTTTCAAAATTGGGCAACTTTCAAGGACAAGTGTCGCCATGCACGTCGCTGGCCTCTTGGGGCCACCACACGTCCCAGATATATGTATTTTAAAGGTTTCCCCTTTTATAAATATCAGAGTCTCGAAACAACGAAGAGAACACAAAAAAATACTTACATCGGAAAATACTCCAATATGATTGGATATCTTGTCTTCTTATCTTCATTGCCTTCAACTTGCTCCTGCAATAAAGAGGCTCGAGAGCGACCAAACCCCTAAATAAAATCGTCGGTTTAGGCACCTTAATTCGTCGACAATGCAGCTATTGTTGTTTTTATTTTTCCCTTTATTTCCTTAATTAATCAATAACTAAGTTGCTATATTATACTCTAAATAACACATTCATCGCTTCGATTTTCCCGTTGACGAAAACAGACGTCAAACATTGTCGAATATGGAAATTGATAACTAGTTAAGTCAAAAGGTGATAATTTAAAATACTATATTTGAAAATTAAAAGCCTATGAGAAATATCATGTTATAAAATGCATATATATGATATTCAATCCAGTCATCACACATTGTCTAGTAAATTTTCATTGATTTTAATATTTCGTTCAGAAGATTTCTATTTTTGTTTTGAATCCATTCACTATTTGCGTAAATACAAGAGTTTAGTATTTTCTCAAATTGTGGCGGGGTGAGTTAAACCATATTTATCTAGTTTACTGTAATTATTTGATTTAGTTTATTTACACTCAACCTGGCCTCCTCAAACTCTATTTTCGGCATTATTGAGGTACAGTTTTTAGTTGTTGATTATTATGCACAAACATGAAAACCCAAAACGAAATAAAAACAGAGCCCAATAAGGAAAAAAGCAGTAACATCAGATGACCTCACAAAAATGTCCCAAATTCATCAAAGAAAACCTCAATCATTTACCTCACCATGTTGTCAAACAAGTTTTAGCATATTTACATAAATACAAGACGAGAAACGCCTTTAACCACCTCATCCACACTCACCACAACACACAAAAGCCTAATATTTACATACGCAATCGACATTTTCTTCCAACTTTTCTGCAGCACACCAAAACTGGTCCATACCCCTCTCAAGGAAATGAATACGAAAGAAGAATCAAGTATGGAGTTAGTCCTCACATTCTGGCAGCTTGCCTCCTTTCATCTTCTTCACATCTTGACTACAACATATGTAAATCCTCCGGACCATATTACAGAATTCCCTGTAAGAAAAAAAAAAAAAGAAATATTAATCACTATATGATTAATGAGAAAGGTTAAAAGACAAGTACGATTTTTCTCTAGACAAAAAAGGATACTTACGGCCAAGGGTCATCACCCACGAGCATCGTGTCCCCTTCATCGTCTGTAAAAACAATTTCCCATTTATATCGAGGGCGTAGCTCACCCTTTATTTCAAACATGTTCTCGAGTTCAATTATAAGATCATCATATCCTCTTAAAGTGCTCAAATCCACAGCCCGACCAACTGCAACACCTTGCATTTGTACCTGCTCAAATAAATTTTACGAGTTAATATTACACAAAATACAAAGCAAACTAATTTTCAAGACAAACACGAAAATTCTACAAACAATAATTACAAAATCTGACCCTTGAAGTTAATCTAATTAAGAAACAAACATTAGAATACCCCTTTATAACCTTGTGAAACCTTAAAGTGTTGATTTACTAACTATCCCTCTAAGTACTAGAAAAAAGATTCCCATTCAGCTATCTGTTATTGAACGTATACCTTGGTGCGACTTCTTGAGGAGTTACTCTGCCTGCTCTGAATTTCCTTGGCCAGAACTTGCAACTGGTCTAGCTTTGGATCTCGAACTTCCTTTGAAACACCTGATTTCTGTTCCGAATCACCTGAGGACATACTACTCGGAACGTATGCTTCACTAACATCATTAATTATATCAACATGTTTTATACGGGAATTCTCGCAAATGGCTGTGACTGAAGAACTTTTCAAGTCAAACCCAAACAATCTGCACGAGGCAACACTATCCGATTTTTGCCAACCCAAAGCATTTTCGCTCTCTTCTTTTTCATCAGCATTCGTGTTTTGGGAGGCATTTATACCAAGCGGGGAATTCCAGCCTCCGTCCAATTGTTGTTTAGCCAGTAAATTAACAGTGTTGTTGGTCCTTGGTGCTTCGAAAGCATGATTTAGTTGATCATGAGATGGATTCCGGGAGGGTGATGCAGTTGACGTCATAGTATCTACAACATCGAATGTAATTAGCAAAATATGTATATAGAAAATGAGGGGGATAATTCCTGGCCAAACCACCTAGAAGGTTTCAACCAAATAAATCTTGCTCAATCTATTAGTTGAGCCGGCAAGATTCGCAGATATAGAAAGTTGAGGGACGTAATAAGAAAAATATACAATAGTGTCGACAACTTCCTTAAACTCCACTAACGATAGATGCAAAATGTTAATGATGTAAACAACAAGGGTGGAGTTTTGTAATTTTAAAAAATGGTTAGTCATGTATTTTTTAGCCACTTATGCAAAAACCTAAAGAGTACTTTTTGTAATCATCCCTAAAATGAAATAAAGCTCAGATTGAAAATCTAACCTGGTAGTGGGATTTCAATGTTTGGCCGAAGTCTCTTATGTTTCACTATCGCCGGTTGAATTGTTGTGGGGACTGTTGCAACAAATGGTTCGATCTCCCATGGAGAAACCCTCTCTGGTCTTGGAATAGATGCAGGCTCATCCCACTGAACCTGGAGACATACGNAAAAAAAAAAAAAAGAAAAAAGAAAATAGTGGGGAAACTAAAAAGAAGAATCCAAGAATATGAGCAAATGTATTGACCTTTAATGTTCGCCATTTGGAATTTTTCCAGTGTTGAGAAATATCCTCCACCCCGACAATTGTACCCGAAAACCTGATAGCCAAGAGAAAGAAGATTGAACTTTAGTAACCTAGACAAATTGGCTTCTAAAATAATCAATTCTCAGTAGCTCGACCAACCTTCGCTCTGGAGAATCATCCCCCTCAAACCGCATCTTGAATCTCATACCAACTCCGAATTCTTGATTTACAGCTTCTAGAAACTTGTTCAGTCCAATGATGAATTGACTAGTCCTGAAATGCAACAAAATAAAAGGTAAGGAAATAAAATCATACAATAGCCCCCAGCCCGCGAGCCCAAAAGGCCTGAAAGTTGGGTGAAAAATGAGACACATTTTGTGAACCCGACCTTGGTTTGTAGTAAACAACAAAGAGGGTCTGAGTAAAAACGGCATGAGATGCAGTTGCAAGGACTCCCACGTGCATGCTCTGGCTTGAAATCACTGACGACGGCATGGAATTCTGTTGCCGGGTATGTCGCCTGACACCAACACGTAATTCTCCACTCTCTCCCCTAGGACAATACCGATATTATATTGAAACTCAGAAAAAAATAATAATAAAAAAAATTAATAAACATCGAGGATTTTAAACCCCCTTATGTATAATCATCAGACGAGTACCTTAGAAATACGAATGAATCACCCGCTACTAATCTCTTGGAGGAGACAAACGTGCTCCACCCAGTTGTGAGCAAATGCCTCCGAGGTTGACCTGCTCAGTCCAAATGAAGGTTTATTTTTAAGTTACAGTGACAAAATTAGGAATATTATTACATTTATAATGCTTGAAGTGATCACGCGCCTCAGTTAATTGGTTTTTATGGATAAAATTCATTAATCTGTAGCTGTGGACATAATTATGTGAGTTTCAGAGAAAGCGAGATTTAGTTGATTAGAAATGATATACCTCTAAATATATGCTTAAAATGCCATGCAGTTCCATGAAGATCCTTAGCAACCAATTCCTGAGTTGGAGTCGGTTGGTTCATATCCTATCAAAGAGGATCGAGATTCAACAAAACAGAAAATATAANTGCATGTACACAATAATAGTATGATAAAGTGTTTGCAAGAATTATGATTCTAAAAATAAGTGATCTATTCTACATGGAGCGTAAAATAACAGAAACTCAAAGTTGCCACATGGTGAATAAGTTGAACAAGTGCTTCATTTGTGTGTGTGAGTGTGAAATCTCAAACTAGAAGCAGAATCAGAAATCTAAAACAAAGTAGCCCTCAAACAACTTTTGGAAGGATGAATATTTACAAACATTAACTCTACTCTTTTCCTTATTTATTTTTTCAATCACAAAGTCACCTATTTTTCTTTTTTTTTTCAGTTTTTTTTGCGAGCACTGTCAGAGTAGGGCGTTACCAGGGGTGGAAGACACTCGTTTGCATGTTTTCGGAGGACAGAAAATCCACCGTGTGTGCTCGTATCTGAGGCAGTGAGAACTTTGCAGAAGGAGGAAACGGCAGGCCTAGGAAGCTCGTCAGGACAATTATCCAGACTTCTCGGTTCAGTTTGCTAAATATATTTTCAAACCAAATCATAAGTCAATACTTCTAAATCAGGCAAAAATCAAAAAGCAACAAGAGAGGAATAAGTTCTTACATCTGCTTCGGGCATCAGGGTAATTTGTGCATAAACTTCATCAGTATCTTGCTCAGCCTATCATATTGGAACAAGTTGTGATACAGTTCGCAATTAAAGAAAGATAACAGCAGCAAGAAAATAGAGTGTGCCCCGGTTATGTACCCAGATTAAGAACTGAACTTCCATCGATATACATACACCCAAGGTAGAAACATAAGGGAAAAGAATAGGAACCATACCAGTAACTGAATGTTGAATACACGACATAGGATCTTCGGAGGCAGATTAAACATCGGTATCCTTTGGTTCAACTCCTCATTTGTAGATGCCTCCAACTAGCAAAAGATCCCCATAAACATGATGGGCTCAAAAACATCAACAAAAACCCGAAACAAATATCAATGGAAATGGCAACTAACTCGGTTAAACATTTCTCAACTCGCCTCAAGAATCAATTCCCTCCAATCCCTATAGGAGGCTCTTTTCCCTTCCATTCATAGGATTTGTACTCAAAAATAAATAACACAAAATTCAAACATATATTAAGCTCCAAGCCCAGTTTTCCACCCAAAAGATCTGAACTTTTTTATGACCACCAAATTAAAACTAAAAATAATAATAAGAGAAACAAAATCAACATTAAAACACAACTCACTTTTTCCATGTGGCCTTGCGGGAAATAATAAACCCTTTCCCCAATCTTAGGAACGTCCACCAAAGGACCTGCACAGGCTTTCCATAGCTCTTCATACAATGCATCCTTTACCTCGCTTCCTGAAAAAAAAAATCATGAAATAAACAAAAAGAATTATAATCACAACGAACCCTTCAAATTAAACAACGGAAAAGAAACTACAAGTATATCAACGAGTCAAATCCCAAACATAAAAAAGGACCTTGACCTGAGAAATTAGCACTCTGTTGTTGCTGAATAAATGGAACCCTGTTTTCCATGGCTTCACCTGTGTATCCACACCTTCAGTGGGCAGAAATCTAGCCTTAAAATCTCAATTAATTTTCTTTGCACAAATTCAATCTACTGCTTTAAATCGCACTAACAAACCCTGCAAAATTCAGCACAAACTCTCTCTCTCTCTCTCTCTCTCTCTCTCTTTCTCTCTCTCTAAAGAAGAATGAACTCTCAGAGGTTTAAGGGAAGATAGAGAGAAACGTCGACCAAGAGCTCCACGGATCAGCTTAATAGACGCTCGTTAGGCTACTTTTCTCTCTCTAGACTGCTTTTCGTAAGTATATTATATTATTATACTGATTAATTGTGAGCGTGTTTCACTTCACTGAACGTGGGCTTTGGTTGTCTCCTTTTTCACCGCACACGCACAGTGCGTGTGTGCGAGAGGATAGTGGTGAGTGGTGACCGGCGATACACCCAAACTAACTAACCCTGGTTAGATTTTAACTAGGGTTTGAGGTCCGATTGGCGGCAATTTCCTCGCAGAACGGAAAATTTGGTGCTACTGGCGGGTCGGTTTTTTCAAGTCTTCGTTGAAAAGTTTCACTTATTTACATAATTCTTGGATACAAGTTATTTCCAAAAAAAATTCATCTAATCATTTTTAATAAATTATTTTTTGAATTCAATTTTAAATCAACTTTACTATCTTTAATATTATCAATATAATTAAATAATATTCACCAATTATTTTTACATCTCATTAACTTTAATTCACTATTCATTCTCAATAATTTTAACTAATTATCTCTCTTACATTTACATTAAATCAACTTTAATTATTTTATTTTGAATATTATTTAAATATAAACTAAAAAACTCAATAACCACTAATTATACTATATTTCAAATTTAACCAAACCAAACAAAAAAATTCAATAAAATAAAAAAAATCTCATATCCAAGCATCCTAGCACATTTCGTCGTGACTGACTGAGTGTGATTGTATGTTTTTTTATTATAAATTATTAATTATTTTCTTTTGTTTATTTTATTTATTTAATATTTGTACATTTTCAATTTAAGTTCGTCGTCTTAATTATTTTATAATAATTTTAGATAATGGGTAGAGTGCGCAAATGTGGAATGGACTAACTCAATTGAACTTGATCACACGCCTGAAATTTGACTTTTCTATTATCTGATAGTGGAATACTTTATTCGATGCTAGCAACTCAAATGCAAATTTGTGGAATATTCAAGATTTACTAAATCTAATTTTACTGGTGTGATGTATTTAAGGATAATATTAAGTGCAAGTTTTTCAAAGTTTTTGATCTTTATCAAAATATATACAATATATTAATACCGTATTACTCACATGACAAATTAGCTTAATATATATATATATATATATATATATATCATTACAATAAGATTCCACTGACTATGCAATAATTTCATATATTAAAGTTCATGTGTGTGGATAAATAAATCTAATTTTTTTTTTTACATCCATATTTAAATTTACGATACAATCAGATACCTTAATATTCTACCTTACCAACATCCAATTATAATAAATCTATATCTATATATATATAAAGAGGGAGTTGATGGAATTTATTGTTAAATAAAGATGATATGCAATGACTATAATTGACAATATTTCTAAATTTGGTTGTATAATTGTAAGTTTAATTATTTTTGCATTTGTCAATAATACTTTAGATCCGTGTTTCTATTTGCACTTTCTATTAACTTAACTAAATTAGTATCCAATTAATAATTCAAATTAATATGGAATCTACATTAATATTTATGCGACTTACTATTCAGCTACCTTTGAAGTTCCTAAAAGTTATTGATTGAGAATTTTAAGTAAAAAATCTATATAAAAATAATAATAAATTTATGTTTCAATTTTTCTAAAAATAAAAAATCAATTTTAAGTATGAGAATCATTCTGATATTTAATAATGCATAAAATTATATATTTAATAATACATAAAAATATATATACCACCAATTAAGATAATGACACCCAATGATACCATAAATATACGAACCTATAATTTTACCATAAATCTATATCTATATATATGTCTATACCTATATCTATATAATGGACCAATCTTTATTGCCATAATTGACATGATTTTGGGCGAGAAATTTTTTCATCTATATTTGTCATTTAATTAATATTTATTTATTAGCAAATCATATGCATAAAAAATATAATTAATTTTTATACACTCAATGAGACAATGACTATTACTCATTAACTAAAAATTGACTTAAGTTGAAATTTTGACTGTAAATTTATTAGATATATTCTAAGTAAGATCTTCTATTAATTTAATAGTAATTTATTAGCATAATTCAAAAAATTATAATGAAAATTGATTTGATTAAATATATTATCATTTATGGCAGTAGGTATTAATTTAATTAATTATATTCACTATTCAAAAGTACTTAAAATATTTAATAAAATAAGTAGAATAACTATGTTTAAATCATAATAACTTAATAAATAATCTAAAATATTAATAAAAGTTTCAAATATGTAGTCAATTTAACTATAAAAATGTACATCCCCATTGAATATATCACATGCAGTAATAATAGTATTGAAAATTTAAATAAGACTAATAAAAATAAAATTTGATGGTCAGGTGCAATTCAAAATTATAAATTCCACCTTAGAAGTACCTATGTATATTAAAAACTATCCAATTTTTAAAAATATTTATTTTTTCATCTGGGTATTGAGGTTGCTAGGAATTCTTCGGGCATTTTCTTAACAAAAAATAAGTTAATAAAAAAGGAATGTATAAAAATTTAGATTATAACACTTGGTAATCATGAAAATATATAATATATCAAAATATTCGAATAGATACTATGTAACTCATTATATAGGTTGAAAAAATGAATTAAAGAAATAAATATAAATAAAAATAGAAACATAAAAATAAAATATTTAACCATAAAAAAATAGTGTGTTGCATAAGGATTAAAGTTACTAAAAATTAAAGTTTCTTTATCAAAGTTTTTAACATTTAATGCACTTAATAATTCTAGCGGAAGATAAATATTATGGGTTAAACGTTGGTCAATTATCAAGCAATGTGCAAATTATGAATTGTTAAAAAAATTATAAGACTATAAGAAACGACAATTTTATAAGTACATACAAATAATTTGTATGCAAATATCATATGATCTTATACATTTATAATATTTTATAAACTTATAAATAATAAAATTTATATATTAAATTGTAAAAAACTACAAAAAAATATACAAAAATAGAAATTAACAATAATAATAAATAAATAAATGTCATATTAGTACTGAATAGAATATTGTGGAGAATATAATTTCATATTATCTTAAATAATTTTATAATATTTCAATAATAAATATTTTTTGTATTGCACCCCGTGCATCGCACGAGTATCAACACTAGTTATAACATAATCATCAACTACTAAATATTATCTAGTTACTAGTATTTAATACTTACTAGTATTTGATTATGTGCACATGGACTTACGTAAATAAGGTACTATAAGTATATATGTATGCATATATATTTAAATTATAAGTTACATAATTATACTACATTCTGACGATTTGATCATTAGTAAAAGTAAAAGTGTAGAGGTATTTAACTGCATAAAATGTAATAATTGATGTATTTTCTTTAGCTTTGAAAGATCGTGACCAATTATTTAGTTGAAAAAAATAATAATTTACTATTGTAACAATTTCTCATGCAATTTTTAATGATTTGACTATGCTATTAAAAAATAATTAATTTATTTAATAAAACATTTCCTTAATGAGACTAAGAAAAAAAGATAATATTGATTTTTAATAAATAAATAATAACATAACTATTTTTTATGCTTATGTAATTTTTACATACTATTTAGTGGAAAATATAATTATGTAATTTTAACAATAACTATGATAGTATAGAACAATTAAAAATATATAATTATTACTCAACTAATATAAAATATAACAGTTTATTGTCATAACTACCTCCATAAAAGAGGGGGAAATAAAAAAATTAGCATTAGTTGGATAAGTTAGGAAGTCATAATTTTTTAATAGTTGTTTATACTTTCAAACTCAAATGTCATAATTTTAAAAACAAAATAAATAAAAATATGTCATCATTTTTATGATATACATCGAATCAATTCGCCTGACGGTTATATCGTGCTACTTAATTATAATCAATACAACATCATCAACTATCTTAAGTAACCATATCCTATCACATAATGAAAGGTACATGATTTTATTCATCAATCTACCAGTTGCAATCTATAATGATGTAACTAGTATTCGACCATGTGCATTTGCACAGTGTAAATAGAATATTAAAAGTTATATTTATGTATATAGTATTAAAATTATAAATTATACAATGATATTATATTTTAAACATGGAGTATTATAAGTTATATTTATGCATATAATAATAAAATTATAAATTAGATAATGATATTATGTTTTAAAATTTGAGCATTAGCTAAAATAAATAGTACATAACTATTTGATTGCATATGAATTACTATGTTAATTACATATAATATAATAAATAATGTAATTTTGAGAGATCGGCCAATTTATTAGCTTAAAAATATTAAATTTATTATAACATTTGATTATGAGATTTTAAGGAATTTTACTATAACATTAAAATAAAGTAACTTATTTAAAAATACAATAGCTAAATAAAATAAAAAAAAATAAAATATTAATTTTAGAATAAATAATTTTACCATAAACTTCATAATAATTTTTTATGTTTATGTAACTTTCATATATCATTATTTAGTGTAACCTATAGTTATTAGTTTTAATAATAATTATTATATGATACAATAAAATAGTATAATTATTATTCAGTTATTATAAAATGTAACAGTTTTTGTCTTAAGAATATAAATGATAAATTTGTACTTCCTCATTTTTTTAATAAATGTCGTTTTAAGAATTTGCATAGTAATTAAAAATATTTTGTTTGCCAATAATAACCCTCATTAATGAGGATAAAGATGAATATTTTGAGAAAAGATGAAGAGAGAATATGAAAAGACATAGGGTAATAATGGAAAAATATAACGTCATTTATTTGGTTAATTGTTGATAAAACCAAAATGACATTTATAAA